GATTTTTCATCGACGTCCTTCAAATCAGGCTTCTCACTAGCGACGCTCGGCGTTTTCGATCGGTCTGCTTCTTTCAATTCTCCAGTAACGCTAGGCGACCTAGATTTCTCAATCGACTTTTCAATATCTTTTTCATCGATGTCCTTCAGATCAGGCTTTTCTCCAGCGATGCTAGGCGATCTGGATTTTTCGACATCCTTCGAATCAGTTATTTCTCCAGCAATGCTCGGTGACTTGGATCGATCCGTCGTTTCTTTCGTGTCCCCAGGAACGCTTATTACACTAGGCGACCTAGATTTTTCTACCGTCACCTCGTGGACGTCCTTCGAATCGACTTTTTCGTCGGCGATACTGGGAGACTTGGAACGATCCTTCGCATCTTTGGATTCCTCGGGAGATTCCATTACACTAGGCGATCTAGACTTGTCTGTTTTCTCACCGATGTCTTTAACCTCGGGCTTTTCAGGCGTGGTACTGGGTGTCTTCGGAATCTCCGCTCCGGGTGATTTAGGCTCGTCTACCGTCTCGTCGACATCCTTAGACTCGGACTTCTCGCTAGGCGATCGTTCACGATCGGTTACTCCTTTAAGCTCCCCTGGAGCGCCGATCGCGCTAGGAGAGCTAACTTTATCGCTCTCCTTATCCTCATATTTCAAATCTAATAGTTCGCTAACGACGCTGGGAGATTTCGAACGATCCACGGTCTTAGGCTCGCCTGCGACACTCGCCACGCTAGGGGATCTCGATTTTTCAATCCCTTTTTCATCGAGATGTTTCGAGTCGATTACCTCGCCTGCAATGCTCGGCGATTTCGAATGGTCCGGAATTCCTTTGTCCTCCACGCCGGGACTCGCGCTAGCCGACCTGGACTTTTCTGTTCCTTTTTCGTCGACGTCCTTTAAATCGGAGAGTTCGCGGGCAATGCTTGGCGACTTTGATTTGTCAGATAACTCTTTCTCGCTCGGTGTTTTCGACCGATCAGCTACGTCCGCGGACTCGTCAGGCAAACCAGTAGTCAGACTGGGCGATCTAGATTTATCGTCTGCTTTCTCTTCGACGTCTCGCAGGTCCCGTTTCCCGCGAACGATTAACTTTTCGTCGTCGGTAACCGATTCCGTCGCGTCGATCAATCGCTCAATATCCGTGACGTCGATTTTTTCTCCGGCGATGCTCGGAGACTTCGAACCGTCGGCCATCGTCAAGCTAGGCGATCTGGATTTCTCCAATTCTTTCTCTACAGCGCCTTTCAGATCCTTTGTCTCTTTCACGTCGCTGGCCACACTCGCTACGCTAGGCGATCGAGACTTATCAACCGCTTTATCGTCCGCCTTATCATCAATATCCTTTAAATCGGGTTTCTCGGTAGTAACGCTCGAGGCTTTGGAATCGACCGGAATGCTCGCTACGCTGGGCGATCTCGATTTATCCGGTGCCTGCGTGACGTCTCCGAGGTCTTTCTCGCTCGCGATGCTCGACGATTTCGAGCGATCCGACTCCTTGGAATCGATCGGAACGCTGGGCGATCGCGATTTGTCAATCGCCTTTTCGTCGACGTCTTTCAAATCGGCTTTCTCCCCGGCGATACTCGGGGATTTCGAAGCGTGCACCGAGTCCTTGACCTCTTCGTGGACGCTCGTTATACTGAGTGATCGCGATTTGTCTGCGACGGTCGGTGAGTCGACTTTATCGACCGATTCCTTTTCGACGCTAGGTGGCCGCGAGCCTTCGGTCGGTTTCTCCCGATCGGATTCTTCTTCACCCGCAGGCAATTCTACAGATTTCTTCTCCTCTATTTTATCATCAGAAGGACTGGGTGACTTAGACCTAGCCACGGATTTCTTGTCTTCTGTAGTGTCGATACTAGGACGCTTCGCGATCTCACCCGTTTCCTTCTCCTCTTTCGTCGGTAACTCCGGAGTCTTCTCGCGTGACTTACCTTCGATCTCTTTTTCCTGTTCTTTATCGCTCGGAGATTTAATCTTCCCCGTATCCTCGACAGCAATTTCTTTCATTTCAGTCGTTATCGTTTCTTTTTCCTGTTCTTTATCGCTCGGGGATTCAATCTTACCCGTGTCTTTCACGGTAGTTTCTTTTATTTCAGTCGGTATCACTTCTTTATCGAGTTTCGCCGCGACGGAGGTTTTCGGAAGGTCCTTCTCTGTCGGCGACTTCGCGAGAATAGTTTCGGCCGGCGAAACGTCTCCCGAGTGAGCCGAGTCGGGGGACTTGGACGCCGTTATCGATTCCAGGGCTGTCTGGGAAGTTTCCGCGTCGGTAAACGCGTCTAGAGGTGCCTCCTTTACCGACGTTTTAGCAGGCATTTCGCTAGGAGGTTCGACTCGGTCCGCTTGTTGCGGGGACTTTGGCGCTTCTGGAGAAGCTTCCTTCGACTTGCCAGCGGCCATCTTCTCGAGACTATCTTCGAGATCCTGGGAATCGCGCCTGTCTATCGGCGACTTGTCCAAGCTGTCCTCGGGCGTAACTTTCCCGACATCCTTTATTCCGGGTGCGGATTTCTCGGAGATGCTATCCTTCTCCGGACTACTTATGCCGGAATGCAACGAGTCTTTGTCTAGAAGCAAGGAATCCTTATCAGGCGTCGACTTTATAGACGCGTCTTTGAGGGAATCGTCGGGTGTAAGCGTCTTGGTGAACGTGATACTTCCGGTTGGGCAAATTTCCGTCTCGTGGCCGCCGTCCTCGCTGCTCGCTGTGACCAACATTCGTCGCACGGATCCCGTGTCCTCCTCCATCCTCGGCGCCACTTCGACGATGACCGACACTTCCTTGGAAGATTCCGTACCTTTTTCTTCTCGAACAGAGACTGCCTCTTTCGAATCCTTCTCGTCGGCTGTCTTATCTTCCTCTTCCTTCTCTCGGTCCTCTTTCTCGGGGTGACCGATTAATTCTGGTTTCGGTTCGGCTGGCCTCCCCGTAGCATCCGCTAGTTTCACTTCCGGTTTCGTCGGTGCTTCCTCTTTAGGCTTCTCCTCTTTTGCTTCTTCCTTAGATTTCTCTTCTACGACTCCAGCGACCTCAGCTTTATCTACTTTCTCAGGGGACGTTGGTTTAACATCCGACGGTTTCTCTTTCGCTTCTTCGAGCACTTTCGTAATCTGTTCCACGGATTCTTTTCTCGTCGCGGCGATTTCAGCGACCGCGGAAGGTTTCGCGTCCGGTACTGCGTGCTTTTCGATAGCGTCCATCAATCTAGACGCGTCCGTTCCCAAGACGTTTCTGTCTTCGATGGCTTCTTCCGCGTACTCGTTCTCCTTGTTTTCATCCCAATCCGGGGAGGCGCCTCGCGACGCTCTTTGGGAAGAGGACATTGTCACGTCGTGTACTTTGTATTCTTGCTCGACAGCCTCGAAATCATCGGTGACGTCTTTCTCGTGTTCCTTTCCGGTGCCTCGTTTCGCTTCTTCCGCTTTATCGACAGCCGCTTTCTTCTTAGCGTCGATCGTTTCTTTCGAAACCTTTCTACTAATTGTGACAAAGCCGTCCTCTTCGACGTCCTCTTCGACGTCCTCTTCGATGTCCTCTTCTTCTGGATGCTCTTCGGGTTCTGCCGCTTCGGGTAATTTCTCCTCCATTTTCTTGGAGTCCACTTTCGACACCGTTTCCTCTCGTTTATCCTCCACTAGCCCCGACTCGGCTTCGAATATCCCGTCCGTAGGTACGTACATGTGCTTCTTGAGAATAATTTCTTGAATAATTCGAATAATAATCGTTTTCGGAACCATCATTCTAACGGAGATCTCCTCGACTATTCGAATGGTGATGCGCTTTCCTTTGGTCACGTATTCATTAATGATATACTCCTCCAGTTCCGTTCGCAGCTGAGGCGTAATGGATTCCTCGACTTTAAATATCTCCACATTATCGACGACGTCCTCTCGGGACAGCCCTTTCCTCACAATAATCTCTTCGATGATGTAAATAACGCGCTCCCTCGGGACGCGCTTGACCGTCGTGATGTACTCGATGATTTCGATGGTGATCTTCTTTCTTTTCGTAACGAGTTCCTCGATGATCTCTTCCACCACGCGGTCCACTCTGTCCACGATGGCTTTTATCTCAGCGGACAGCTCGGCAGCGGGTTCTTTGCTCTCGTAGAGTTTATCGGTTACAAATTTCGGCGACGTCGGCGTGGAGCCGGGCGAAACCGTCACGATTTCCGCCTTCGCCGGCGCGATCTTCTGATCGAAGCCTATGGGCTCCTCTGTTCCTTCCGGGATCTTCTCCTCGTCAGACAACGGCGTCTTCGCGACTTCCTTCACGCACACGTCCTCCAATCCAGCCTTCATCACGTCAACCTCCTTCGAAGGCTCCTCCGCTGGCTTCAATTTACAGACCGGATCTTCTTTCAACAGTTCCGCGCAGATGTCCTTTACATCGCGATCGTCCTTCGGGGATGCGATCGGAGACGCCATCGGAGACGCTTCGGTCTTTTTGGTCACTTTCACGCAAGGCTCCTCGTGCACTCGCATCGCGTCGGGTTTGTAGGCCGGGATCGGAATCGGGACGGACGCCGCGGTTCCTTCGATGAGCTCCTCGACTTCTTCTTGCTGGGGGAACTCCTCGGTGATGCCGACTTTGGTCGGCATTACGGCGACCTTCTCGTCGCGCTTCGCGTCCTCGAGAACTGGGGACTTTGCGATCGGTACCGCTTCCTTTCGCTCGACCGGTGCCTCGCCGAACAGTGCCTTGTGCGAAAGGAAATCGTCCTCTTTCAAAACTTCGGCGACTTTCTTCACGATCTCCGTCACGTCTTTAGGTTTGTCTATATCGATGCCAACCGTTCCCGCGAGGACCTCACCCACGTCGCGCACTGCCTCTTTAAAATCTCTCACGGCGCCGGTGACTTCCTCTTCTTCTTCTTCCTCGTAATCCGCTTCGATGTCCTCGTCCCTCTGAACATCGAACTTCGCTCTCTCCGTTTCTTTAGTGACCGGGGAGGTAGTCTCGCTTTGCGGCTGCATCTCTTCTAATTTCTCGACCACGCCGTCGAGGGTGTCCCTGACGACGTCCTTGACGGGTGCCGCACCACGAGATGCCCCGGCGAGCTCGTCTTCTAAGGACTCGAGGGAATCTCTGGAACCTTCCTTGGTCCTCTTCGAGGGTTTCTTTGAAACTTGAGAGGTGTCTCCCTTTTCTTCCTTTGTGTCCTTTTTAACCTCTTCTTCTTTAGTCGGAACATCGTCCTTCGTCACCGGCTCTTCTTTTTTCTCAAGCTCCGCTGGTACAGTCTCAGCCTTGGCAGCGGGCTCTGCTTTATCGACCGGTTTATCGACCGGTTTATCGACCGGTTTATCGACTGATGTAACTTTATCGACGATATCAACCACCGCATCTTTAACAATTCCCGTCGCGGCAGGCACTCCCGCTTCCTTGATCTCGCTCTGCAGGAACGCAACGGTTTCTTTGATATCAACAGACTTCACGTCGCTAACCTTTCGCTGTATTTCACCGGGAGTTTCCATTTTCTCGCTAGGCTTGACCACTTTCGGGAACATTTTGTCCATGTCGACGTCCTCGAGGAGAGTTTTCTCGTGCGGCTTCGCCTCCTTCGGCGAGCTAGACTTGGAAGACGACTTGTCGTCGGCGTCCTTCTCCGGGTCCTTCTTCGACTTCTTGGTCAGCTTGTCTATACCCTTCTCGAATTTATCTGCGACCTTGCCGAAGAAGCTGAACACGCCTTTTTGTTCTTTGATCGGAGGTGTCGGTGGTTCTTTGGCTTGCGGCGTAGGTTTCTCGTCCTTGTCCTTCTCGAAGTCCTCCATTCTGTATAATTTCGGGTCCACCTCTTCGTGGACGGGTAAATCGGCGACCTCGTCCGGAGTTTTCACGATGTCGCGCTGCAAGCCCTGAACGGCTTGCCGGACTTCGAAAATGGGTACGTCGGGTTTCGCGACGGCGGGAGGGGAAACTCGCGGGGCGACGACGTCGACGGGAGCGACGCCGACGTCGGCGGGAGCCTCTTCTTTGATTTTCGCCGGTGGCACGTCTTTCTCCTTAACATCCTCGATTATGTGTTTCTCATCGATGTCCTCCTTGATCTCGTCGAGAGGTATTCGCTCATCTTCCGGAAGCGTCGGCGCCGTCGTCGTGGCGCCGGATTCTATCGTCGAGATTCGTTCCTGCGATTCCTCCAACTTCTGAGAAGGTACTTGCTCCTTTTGGTCGACTTCTGGCTTCAGATCGGTGTCCGTGGTTTTCTTCTCGGAGGAATCCAGCTTGTCCGGACTCAAGCTAGACGGTTCTTTTGTGATGTCTTCGCTGTCCTTTTTACCGGAGTCATCCTTCTCTTCGGGCTTCGGCGTGCTCTCCGCTGGGGATACGACTGTTTCTTTCGTTTCTTCTTCTAATTTTTCTCGTTGATCCGGTGAGGTTATTTCTGGCGATGGCTCCTTCTCGATCTTCGATACCATTTCCGCTTTGAGGTCTATGGACGTCCTTTTCTCCGCGCTTTCGTCCTTTTCTTTCTCCTCGATCTCTTCTTCTTCCTCGCCTTCTTCTTCCTCTTCTTCCTCCTCCTCTTCCTCTTCCTCACCTTCATCGAGAGCTTTTTCCTTCGCCAGTTCCGCGTCCTTCAGTATCTTCGCCTTCTCGGATTCCGCCTCGTCGAGAACGTGCTTCTGCTCGCCCTCGCCGCTCTGAACTGAATCCTCCGTGTAAACCTCTTCCTTCTCGACGATCAGGTACTCGTCCTCTTCGGTCAGCTCCTGGCTTCCCTTTCTCAAACTATCCTTCTTTGGCGCGTCCTCGATCTCGGCGGTCACGTCCTCCTCCGTGATGTCCTCCTCTTTCTTGTCGGTCACTTCCGCGGTGATCTCGTCGTCGCCCTCGAAGCGATCGTCTTTTCTCGTTTCCTCTATCCTCTCCGCTTTCTGAAGTACAGCCTCGATCTCTTCGACGACCTCTCGCTCTTCCTTCAGGTCAGCGAGAACTTTGCTCTCGATGGAATCCAACGAAATGTCCTCCGACTTCTCGATCAGGCTCTTGTCGGCGAGCCTTGCTGCTTCGGCCTCCGCGGCAGCGGCGGCGGCCGCCGTTTCCGGTTCGATTCCGGACGGCGTGGACACCGTGGACGAGTCGGTGGTGCCCTTGTCGCCCTTCGCTTTGCGAATTACACCGTCCTTGTCGGATTTCACGGAAGTGGTCGGCGTGCTTCGCGTCGATTTCGCGGGACTGCCCGGCACGCGAGCTTTGCTAGGGCTGACAGGTTTACCTCGGCGAGCTATCGGCTTGCGGTCCATCAGTTTCGGCTTCGCCGACACCTGAAGTATGGAAATATTGAGAGTTAGATGAACGCTTCGCAAAGGATCCTGTTAGTAAATTAATAGTAAATTAATAGGTAATGACTGTAGTTTAACCTTATTTCGCTTTTTTGCACCTGTCATTTTACTCGTTTTGGCGTGGTGAATACGAATATCATTGTCGTTTTCGGTGAAAAGTACAAAGTTTCAAGATATTTGGATAAAACTGTCTTAGTAATACGTATAATTTTGCGGCGACCGGATTTAAATATCGTAAGCTAACCGGATTTAAATGAAACCTAACCTAATCTAATATATTGATAGTGTTCACTTCTAATTGAGTTTTAATAGACTACGCCCCCAAAATGCACCCAATGCACACAATTTTACGACGGCCGGATTTAAATATAGAACCTAGGACGTATCAGAAAGAGCACATTAGACACTATATTCTTTTTATATTTGAGTTGAATATATTATACTGTGTATCTATATCGAGGATTATGTTGTAACCTGCTGCATCATGGTATGAAGCTTTGTGTAACGTTGGATGAAATATTATGTCGTTAGCAGGATTATGCTCTATTTCGACGGAAATTCAGAATTTGCGCCAAAAACGAAAATGGTATTCGTATTCCCCATACTTTCATATGTCTATGGTATTCACCACATCAAAACGAGCAGAATAAAGTATGACAGGTGTCAAAAGCTCAGAGTGGTGGCGTTAAACTGCAATTCAGCCAATTCCTCGTATCGTTACCTTAACCGCGGCGACTGCCGTCTCTTTTATTCCGGATTTCTCGATGTTCTTCTGTTCCACGACCTTCCTATTGTTCGCATCTTTCGCGCTCTTCGCCGGCGGTGGCGCTGTCGTGGTCTTGAGGCCTGTGGACGGCTTCCTCGGCACGCTCACTTTCGATATCTCCGTCTTGGTCGCGACTCCGTTCACGGTTTTCTTCGGCGTGGTCGGCGACGACTTCACGAGACCGGTGTCCTTCCTGTCCGTCGACTGTTTCGGCTTCTTGTCGGATGGTTTCGGTTTAAGCGTCGCCTCGGTTTTACCGATCTTAACCCCCACTTTCGCTTCCTTCGACTCTTTCTTCTTCGACTCGCTCTTTATCTTCGGCGGGAGCTTCTCCGACTCCGATTTCGTCGTTGGTTCCTTTCTAACGCCATCCTCCTCGCGTTTCTCGCCTTTCTCGTCCATCTTGTCCGGCTTCTCCGTCTGCTTCTCCGCTGCATGTTTCTCCAATTTCCCGGCGTCTCTCCTAGGAACCTCCTTCTTGACCTCCCTCAATTCCTTCTCGATTTTCTTGCTCTCCTTCGCTTCCTTTCCCTCCACTTCGATCTTTCTGTTCTCCGCAGCCTTCTTGGCTTTCACCTCGATCTTAGCCGGCTGCGGTTTGGTAGGTATGATCGGCGCGCTCTGCATTATGCTTTTCGGATGCGAGTCGTCGCCACCTTTCACTGCCTTCACGTCGGCCGCGTCTTTCTTCTCCTTCTTCGCGTCCGACAGCTTCTTCGTCGGCTCCTTGTCGATCAGGCTCAACTTTTGCTTGGCCGGTTTGTCCCGCAGTGTCGCCAAGGACGTGGACGGGGAGAGGCTCTTCGCGGAACAGACCGGGTGCTTCAGGAACTCCAAGTGCTTCAGCCGTTCGAAACCTTCGAAGATCTTGTGCTGAGGCGTACTTCCGGGAAACAGGATCCTCGTAATGGTGTCCTCGGGGTTGGCCGGTTGCCACACCAAAAGAACGCATATCGAGACCAGGTTTTGTATTGGGAACGTTGGATTGTTCGAGTCCTTCTTGTGAGATCCCGCGAACAATTTCGAGTCGCACGAGTGCCATTTCGCTAGAAATTCTCTCACTTCGCGGCTGTCTTTGTTCGGGCTGAGAACGTACATGTCCAGGGTGCCGTGGCCCACTTTGTGGTACAAATTAATCGGATCGGGATCCCTGTAGCACGGATGCGCTCGCAGATTAATGTGCCGAAGATTCGCGACCATCTCCTGTCCTATGTCGGTGAGGTTCAGAATTAAGGGGTCGATGTCTTTGTCGCCGTCCGGTGAATTGGATTGCCTTCTCTCCTGTTGGAAGACAACGCAAAGTTAATTTAAGTTAGGTTAATTTAAGTTAGGCTGCTCTTTACTTTGGGGGACCAAAAATTATGAACAGTCAGTTGCATCTTAACATAATACAATAACTCGAAAGGTGACTATCGGTATAGGTTCAATTTGTTTGGGACTCGAAAGTCTCGTCCGACGCTTCGAGGGACTACTTACGACTAGATTGCAGAAGAAGTGGCCGATCTGAGGATAAACGTGCATCTCCTTCTTTTTACGAACAACGCTGACCATGCCTCCAACGTTGCTGTTATTTATTCTAGTGACTAAAACCGCGTCGAGGCGGTCCAAGTGCCTGGTGAAGTCCCAGAAACAAGCCTTTCTTGCAAAACCTCCGTCCACGAGCATATTAAAACCGTTTATGCCGAAAAGGGCGGCGTCCCCTTGTCCGCCCGGGAAGACGTATAACGTTGGATGACTGAATCGGATGTTGCCCACAACGTCGGATGGCTCCATGAGCTGATCCAGAGTTTGAGCGACGAGGTACTGCCCGATGTAGTTGGTGAAGCTCGCGATCGCCGGTACCCCGGCGGTGAGAACGTCATCGGGATTTACTCGGACTCTGCAGGACCTACGGCATAGAGAAAAATCCAAGAGTTTGCGCGAATAGGGCAGTCGTGGGATATTTGAAAACGAACGACGCGTACCTGGTGCAAACTTCTTTCGACAGCCGGTTTGTCGTCCAATCGCCAACACCCGCGCAATGAATGTCCACCGTAACGCTGTTCTCGTAAGCCCGAAGCACTCTCTGCACTTCGTGTTCGCTGAACGCGTCCAAAAAGTCGGCGATGCTGAAGGTTCCATCCTAGAGGAACGTTTCGGCACAATGGTCAATTGGAGTGATTACTCTCGGTCGAGAGTCGTTAGTTAATTACTTAATCTCGACGAACGGATCGCACCGTGTACGGTAAAGACTGGATAAGTGCAAGAAAATCGGGAAACATTGCAGTTAGAGTAATACATTACAGTATTACAATAAATTTTTTGTTGTAAAACTTTTACCATCGTATTTCTGGCATTTTTCTGATTGAAATGAGACAAAACACGATATAATTCGGACGATATTTACCACTCGGGACTGATCTTGTGCAACTAACGTGGACATCGTATATTCTTTGATGTTTGCCGATGCCTGTCAAACGTAGACAAGGACAGCGAATAAAAACCAAACCACCCCTTTCAAGGACCTCCCACATTTTTGGGACACCCTGTATAGTACATAATAAATTGTTACAAGTAAGTATGTTGACACGTACGTCGTGTTTGGACTCATTTTAATCAGAAGAATGCCAGGAATACGACGGTAAAAGTTTCACAACAAAAAAGTTAATAATAAGAAAGTTTCATTGTTGCATTACATTCGCTCCGTCCTCTTCTTTATTCGCTGTTCTTGTCTACGTTTGACAGGCATCGGCAAACATCAAAGAATATACAAACTCTACGATAACTGCACAAGGTCAGTCCCGAGCTTGTGCATCTAAAGAGACATTACTGTATCCAGTCGAGGTTTCTATTCTGTTTACGTTTGGCTCGAGTCGAGCGTCGAACGTAAAAAAGGACAGAGAGTGAAAAGGAAAGAGGTCCATTAGGATCATATTACACTGGTCGCTCGCCTTGCATCAAGGCCCCTCCCCTCCCAGTGGTGGGGATAGTCATCTTGCATTTATCGAGTCAATCCTGTCTCGCACTTATCCAATCTTTACTATTTTACATTTATCGCTGAATAAATTCGACGAACTGGGTAACATTAAATTAACGAACGATACACTTTATCAACGTCGTATCTATCATTTGTACGATGCATGCAACAATTAGAGAGTTTACGAAATAATACGAAAAGCGTGCGTACTTGCAGTATCCAGGAACCATTTCCACCGAAGGTATAGCCGGCGTGTATGATGTGTCGATGTTTCGTGAAACTCGCGAGAAGGTTGCGGATACATTGTAATAATGTGTTTGTTTGCGGGTGAATGAGAACTTCCGTAACAAGATTCTCGGTAGCGTATTGGATCAGTCGTTCGCCTGAAATTTCATTCGTCTCGTCGAATAAAACAACACGAGCACGTACGTCACGTTGCTTGACCGCATCGCGAATATAAAGGATATAAAAATATAATAATTCAGACTGACTAGCCGACGATCGATTGCTACGAAAATATTATACAAGTGTCAATACCGTTCCGAGCTTCTTCTCCTTCCGGTGCTTGCGCCACCAGCGCCAGCAACTCTTTTTCTAAATCTACGTGGCAACTGTCTTTGTCCCATGACAGGAAACCTGAAACACAAATACAAACGAACGTTGTAGCAATTATCCAGATACGGTTTGGGGTGTAACGTTGACAATTAGAGGGAACTGTTTTCGTTTACTGTGCGGAAGAAGTGGGGGTTACAGTGGGAGGAGTTACAGTTACTCCCGCCCCTCTATACTACTTGGCGTCGATCTTCGGGGGCCAAACGTCCAAACAATGGAACCTAATCCGGGTCCGTATATCAGTGTGACACTACTAATGCAACGACAAAACTTTTTTTTTTTTTTTTTTACTTTTTGGAAGTGAAAATTGGACCGTCGTATTTGTGTTTCTTTTCTGAGTAAAATGATATAATTTAATACATGTTTGCGTATTTTTCAGGCAAGAGGAAACAAATCGTTATCATTTTTAAAATAAACAAATAACCAAGGAAATTATATCACGTTTGGTGGTTTGGATATCATTTTTAAAATAAAATAAACAAATAAATTATATCATGTTTGGTGTCATTTTAAGAAGTCAAAAATAAAAAATCTTTTGTCGTTGCGTTAGTAGTGTCTCACCGACATGGCCCTTTGATTTCTGCCGCACTCGGAGACGCTCGGTTCTCCCTTTCTTTCTTTCGTTGCCTCTCTTTCAAAATGGCGGATACTTCGCGTACAATTTTACGTTCTTCTACGCGGTAATTCGTCGCTTTCGGTCCCGAGTTTCAGCGAATTACGGAGAATGTAATCGTCTTTCCATATCCCGGTAATCGTTGAACGATGATGCCAACTGAACGGAACAAAGTAGTGGGTCATAACTACGTATAAGCTACCCAAGAGACTGCACTACTCTGGCTTCGTAAAGCGAGGACTGCTCAGGGTCGAGTAACGTAAGGTTAAGGTTAAGAAGGCCAGAACTGCTTGAAGTCCGTCTTACATCCCGACTGACCAGGAAAGCGAATTACACATCGGTCTGGCGCATAATCGAAAACGCTCTTATAGTGATCGAATCTTTAAACAAAAGAACGTCAGTTGTTCGGAGAAGCAATACGGCATTCGGCATGTTACACGTCCAAGAGTTTTTCTTAAGGGTTAACACCACTCTAGAGGCTGAAAAAACATACCTTGAAAAAATATATACATGTCGAATTGAATAAGAAATCAATTATAAAGGAAAACGAAAGAAAACCCTTTGCACCCCTTCAGGGGTTGAATTTGTTTAAAATGCCGAAATACTTGTTTGATTAATTATATCAAGAAGAATTGAGATCAAGTTTCAAGCAGATCCAATAACAAATGAAATATTTCTCATACAAACGTTGCAACCCCTTTTTACTTCATCAGGGGTTGAATTTTTTTTAAAATACCGAAATAAGTGTTCGATTAATTACATAAAAGAGAATTAGAACCAAGTTTCAAGCAAATCCAATAACAAATACAATATTTCTCGTGCAAACGTTGCAACCCCTTTTTATCCCATCAGGGGTTGAATTTTTTTAAATGCCGAAATACGTGTTTAATTAATTATATCAAAAAGAAAAGAGATCAAGTTTCAAGCAAATCGGACCACAAATAAAATATTCCTTATACAAACTTTTTACTCCCTTTGTACCCCTTTAGGGGTTGAATTTCGAAATATCCTTTCTTATTCCTCGTATATATCTCTCCGTGCAAAATTTCAGCTTTCTAGGTTCAAGGTTTTAATCTGGGCGTTGATACGTCAGTGAGTCGGGGCTTTCATTCTTATACCATACATATAAATCAGCATTCCATAAAGAATGGCGAGGAAATCTGGTCGCTGAATAAAACATCGACGATCGAAAAGCAAAATGAATTTCTTGGTACCGATAAGGGAATGACAGAGTTCGTTTCATGACGTCACGAATACCGCACCCCGTCGCGTAGTTCCGTAGTAGCCGTCAATCGATCGTCGCGTATCCTGCAACCACTCTATTCCCACCTATGCGACGTACCTTTCGCAGGACATTTTTACACGGTAGCATTTACTCAACGTACGAATACGTTTCGACGTAATTTCTCTGTTCCCCTTAAAAAGAATCTTTTGTTCGTCGAAGCGGCTGAAAAGCATCGAAACTCGAGTGTTCACGGCGTATTCGATACGCGTGATGTTCAAGGTAGCGTGATACAAAAAAAAAAAATGGCAAAGGAGAATCATCGATGCGCGTCGAAGCAGATAGGTACGCGTACATATGTACGACGGTTTCCTTGCGAACAATAGACGCCGCCGCCAGAATCGAAAAGAACGAGCGGCAATTAGATCGTTTCAGCTTCTCGTTCCAAAGTAAGGAATCGATGATGCGGCAAAATGGAACGGAGCTGGCTGCCAAGGCGGTACCGAGCGAATCTCGCGTAACTAGAACGATCGCTTCTCCACATCTTACGGAGAAGACTCTCTCTAACAATTTAACCCTTTATTTATTGAATTTCTCAAAAGTTTTTTAAATCCAGGCGTCCATCTTTGTCTTATATAATCTTATTGAGTTGTCTCTAACGAGCTTCCAAAAGAAAAAGAGCTTGTCCTGCCCAAGAAACCATTTCGAGCCCTAAATTTGTTGTAAAGTAAAAAAGAAATACAAACGCGAACATATATTACTAATGCATGTTTATCCAACGTGTGATTTTGTTTTTGCTAATATATTACTTGCTTTGGAAAAATTACAATTTTTTGCAATTTCTTTTTCGATGCTTTATTAATTTTGATTTAGTGAAAGAGCGCTCAGGACTTGCTATAGTAACTGGCTACATAAAGAAAAGTTTTAATACATTTAGAAATAACTCATTCAATGTGCAAGAGTACATTATTTCTTGAGTTTCTTTTTCTTGAGTTTCTTTAGTTCGGGGCTTCGGAATAAATACAATATTTAGATCCAATTAATTCAACAGACGACGTATACATCTTAACTGTGCAATGTCTCTGATAAGAGATGACAACGTCGACGACGGTTGGCAGCCACCATTACATATCGAAGTGCCTTGCAAGTTGTTTGTAAAAAAAATTCAACTTGTAGTGGATTAAATCAACAGATAAAGAAATATATAACAAAGATAAATAACAATTAACGAGTTACAACAGCTAGTTACATACAGTATACAACAATGTTCAACTAACAAATTTTGATAGCGTGTTTGACCAGGTTTGGCGCGGTTTGATAGCGATTCGAGTTGGTAAAAACGGGTTTCCGGTATCTAACGAGTGAAACTCTCTGCAGATAAAGCAGGTATCTTTAGCCTTCAAATAAAGATAATTTTAGTTATCTTTATCCCTCGAGTACATTTACTTCGAATACATTTTTTTATCCGACAGTCATCGAATAAAAATAAAGTTACGTATCTTTATTCGATTTTCTATTTAAATAATTTTGTTATCTAAATAATGCCCATCTCTGGTTTCCAGGGACGTTTTTCGTGTCGGCCGATTTGAGATTATTTAAAACGTTCAAGTCCCGCCAGTAAATAAAGGGTTGGACGATAGGAGGGAATTGGTACGCGTATTAAATCGTTTAAATGTACATATCGAGCCACACGACCAGCAAAAACCGTCTATGTCAAATTGATCGGAAGCCCTGACGGTGATACAAGAGAAGCCGTGCCACGTCGGGGATGAGAACGAGGGGGGACAGCAGTGGCAGCTGCAGCCTGCTACGACTTTTTAATGCCCGATGATCTCGGCGCGATTCTTTTTTTCTAGGAATATACGCGTACTCGCCGGTGCAAACGATATCGATAAAAATGGTGATGGTGCGACGCTACGTATACGTATATTTAACGTTATTACGTCTGTCGAGAAAGAGCGTGACCGACATAACTTTTGTTCGAATCCCGTTATCAAGTAAGCTGTCGATGCCGATGCATTACGTGGGGAGGAGCTTAGTCGACGACGCGTTATAGAATCAGTCCCAACTTTACGGACACTTTTTCAACAATTAACGCTAAACCTACCGACGTTCATTCGTAACTATTGATGAAACGTGGTGGAACAACCGGCTAGTCTTATAGACACTCCTTTCGAGGTGAATGCAAAAATATTTTACGTGGAAATGAATTGGATAATGCGTGACACAATCGTGTATCTATTTGTATAAAAACGGATGTTTGTATATTTATATATGATCGATAGACTTTGAAACTGTTTGACTGATCAACGTGAAACTTAGCACATATACAGAGTGAGTCACCTAACGTTACCGGCTTAAATATCTTTGTTGTTTTTAAAGATACGTTAAATATAAGGACAAAGTTGAATGGATCAGTGGTTCAATTTTTACAAAATTAAAACAAATTTTTAATTCCAGTTTGAGTCAGCTTTTGGTGGGGGACGGCAATATCGAATGCTGTTAACGTATACGTGTATACTGTCTACGTGGAAACACTGTCTGAGAGGGTTTGATGTATTTGTTTTGGTGGCCGGGAAGAGGGACGCTATTGCATACAGTTAAGGTGTATGCTATCTATACGAAAATACTGTCTGAGTAGGTTTTGGGATAGTACTTGGTGGGAGCGCTGATATTCAATAGTGTTACTGTATACATGTATACTGTCTATGTGAAAATACTGTCTGAGAAAGTTTGATGTATTTGTTTTGGGGATGGGGGAGGGGAAATATTGCATACAGTTAATGTGTAACACGAAAGTACTGTCTTAGTAGGTTTGGGCATATTTTTTTTTTGCGAAAGCTGACGGTGGAAATATTGATTACTGCTAATGTATATACTTCCTCCATGAAAATACTGTCTGAGTAAGTTTGGGATAGTATTTGGTGGAACCGGCGATATTAATAGTGTTAATTTTTCATCCCGATTGGTCAAGCCATCTCGGCGTAATTAGTGAACAAACATTAAAAAAAAGAAATATATATATATATATAAATGACGAATTGAGTAACCTCCTTCTTTTCGAAGTCGGTTAAGAATACATTCACGTGGTTGAACTGTCAGATTCTTCAAATACAAATATTGAGATTTCGAACTGAAATCTTACATTTGTCAAAATAAAATATTAGAAGAACTAGAATAAAAATAAAT